GGTACAACTGAGGTGTCTGGTGCCATTGCTTTAGAAATGGAACTTGAGGCCCTCGCTGGTGGCACAGCTGGTTGAGCGCTGCACTGCGAAGCTAGGCCAACCCCCGGCCATTTCAGTGCGAGTTTGAGCCCTGCCTCAGAGGTGACCACATGGCACAGCAGACCTCTCCTGTCTCGCCCACTGCTCCCCTCAGCAGTGTACTTTGTCACTCTGCTTGTCCTGCTCCCACTCTGTTTCTGGTGAATACTCTGCACCTCTGGCCTCTACCCCAATTTTGTACACATAAATAAATCTCTAAAAAAAAAAGGAACTTGAGTTGAAAGAAAATAAGTTAATTTAATAAAACTCGAAAAAGGACCTAATTTGTTATATGTATTAACCAACTTGCTGGCTTGGTGAACAGGTCTCATGAAGTGGGTGTATTGAAAAGCAGTTTTACAGGCTTGCACACTTGACACCATTGCAACCTCTGGATTTCAGTTACCATCAACCTACCTGGACACTCAGCGGAAGGTTTTTGCTGTGCAGCGTGTGGTTATCATTTGTTCCAGTTGACCTTTCCTGAAATCACGCATATTATGTTACAACTCCAAATCTATTTCCATGTGAAAAAATATTAGGCACCAAAACACCCAGGACAATATCTATTTTTAGCATCATACAGAATTATGGACACTCTGACGTTATGTGGTTTATGCCTTCAGTCATTTCACACAGAGAGCAGAGTCTATTTGCCTGCTCCTTTACATGTACCTCGGCCATATTTATACCAGGCTTGCAAAACTTCTAGCTCTTTTTTTAAATTAGGTCTCAAAATGATCATTTAATATCTGTCTAGAAATCTCATTCTACACTGTGATGGAAAACCTCCACTGCACGTGGAGACAAAAACCTTCAGACAAAAACCTTCGATTTAATTTTAACATTTAATAAGGAATCTGAAAAAAATGGGACTTATTAATAAGTATTTTTAATACAATGTTGCCTTTATCTTTCTTATGCAGAACAAACAAAATACACTAATTTAATAAATATGTTTTAAGTAGAAATGTTTTGTTATTGTACCTAAAACAGTTGTTAACCATAAATTTCTGGAGTACTTGTAATTTTTTCATTTATCTAAAGTTAGCTACCAACTTATTTTTGTTTGAAATGACTTCTCCCCTTCTCTCCAAACTCTTTTATATACATAAAAAAAAAGTGGGTTCCTACTGATAAAATTAACATGTATCTAATACGTAATGTGCCTTTTGAGCGTGTAACTTAGTATTTGGAGACTCCATAATTTGTCTTATTATGCAACTGAAAAAATGGGCATGTGATTTAATGTTCATTCAGCCATATATTTACCCTAAGACTATGTAGCTATTTTTGTGGGAGAAATAATTTGTCATTGTTCAGCAGCTTTTAAAAACTTAATTTTTACTAAAGAGCATTTAAACATCTAAATAGATACTAAAAAACAAAAATAAATAAAAATAAAAATTACAATTAGATAAACCCTCAGCCTTGTAGCTGTTAATAATTGTAGCAAATGACCTCATTTCCTACTGGAAGCTCTGGTCTGTTTGCAAGGTACAAAGGGCCTCAGGGCCTTCTGGGGCCTCAGTATCTGAATTGCCCTGTCATTCACCCCTTTTGGCTTTCTGCCCCTCTTTTTCCAGATGCATCCACCTGGTGATTCATTCCTCAGTAATCTTTTCAACAATTTTCCCAATGATTGCAGCCCTTACCTGAGTCACACAAATGAATCCCAAAGCTTGCCCAAAAGTTCATGGAAATGTCATGGATTCCATGCCCAGCAGACATGGGGTTTAGTGTGCACCCACCCTTTTAAGGGCAGTCTTCTAACGTCCTTGGTTGATAACCGGAAAGATTTAGGAGCAAGACACTCTGTAAGGTTCACCTCACTAACCCCTGTGCCCACACACGGAGCACTCACACAGTCACAGAACCCCAGAAGCAGGGAGGTATGACCCTCATAGGTTGCAACAGAGCTTGGACTCACCAGGCAAAGCCCTTTAAAAAAATTATTCATTTATGGATACAAGAATTGGGGTACAGGCAAGAGGGGCAAGGGGTGAGAGGCTTCACCAGAGACAGAGTGGGGAGCAGAACAGGCAGATCGATGAAGCACATTGCTGAGGGAGCAGCAGACAGGTCAGGAGAGGTCTGCTACTCAAATGAACTTCTGCTGATGTGGCTGCAGACAGCTTCATAGTGCTGTGCTTTAACCCTCTGTGCCACCAGGGAGGCCCAGGCAAAACCCTTTATCACAGGGCTCTGCCCAGCCAGAGGCCATTTCTAAATGAAGGTATAAATTGCTGACTCCTGTTCTCTTCACAGCTCAGGCTATGAAAGTGTAAGGGATGCACGACTAACTTGGAAGGGCTATTTCTGGAGTTGGCAGGACTCTGGAAGAAACCATGAAGGCCCTGCAAGTCCTCCACATTGGCTGCCTGCAGGCTCAGAGCTGCCTGACCCTATTTGCAAGAGAGGAAGGTACTGAAGTTCTAAAGCAAACAGCTTGCTCAAGTTGTGGCAAACTCATTCTAGAAATTCAGAATGGGCTGAGAGTATAGGGGGAGGATGGGGATGGGGAAGGCACCAGGAACCTAAAATAAACAACTTTCTGTAATTCTATCAGTTATTCTTCCCAGGGCTGTGACATGCTCTGCAAGGCTTACATAAGAATGGGTGCTGTTGGGATTATGGTGATGGCACATGGGTGACTTGGTGATGGGAAACCCTCAGGGATTACAATTGAGATGGAAAAAAAAATGTACAAAATGATGTAAAAATAAACTGTTGTAAAAAAAAAAAAAAAGAGTGGGTGCTGTTTGGTGGCACAATGGGTTAAAACACACCATGAAGCTATCTGCAGCCACTGCACCTTGAGTTCAATCGCCAGCCAGGGAGGTGACCCACATAGCATGGCAGACCTCTCCTGTCTTGCCTGCTGCTCCCCTCAGCAACGTATTTCAGTATAGCTGCCCGTTCTGTTCCCCACTCTGTCTCTGGTGAATCTTCTCACCTCCTGCCCCTCTGGCCTGTACCTCAGTTTCTATATGCATAAATTAAATAAATCTTTAACAAAAATGGCTGTTGTTCAAAGGCTAGGGGGATAGGAAAAATAAAAAACAGGGGTTAAGGGAAGGTGTGGAATGAAATAAAAATGAAGGGGCATCGTGTGCTTAGTTATGGCAGCCACAAGCCTTTTGCACTTGTCAAAACCCACGGTCAGTCGTACACCAGAATGAAGCCCGGTCTAACCACGAACTCTTCTTACCACTGCCAGCTGAAAACCAGCTCAGGACTTGGACAAATGCCCACACCACTGCAAGGTATTGAGAAGGAGACCGCACAGGGACAGAGGGGTCTGTATGAATCTGTGGTACTATCCGTCGTTCCTTGTACTGCCCAAACAGTTGTGCAAACCTAAAACTGCTCTGAAGTATTTTCCTGTTAATTTTCCTTTAAGTTGGTGAGCTTATTATTTCTCAAATACAGCACTGAGCAACCAGTATCTGCCCGTCCTGTTCAAACGAAGGTGAGGGAGTGGTAGGTGAAGAGCTGAGTGAAGCAACCTGGTACCTGAACACAGGTGTTAAGGAAAGATTCTTCCTTCCCCTAAAAGGACCCAAGGTGCACTCTGTTAGTATATTTCAACCAGGTATTTTATTGATCTGGCAACTGCAAAATATACAAATTTCTGAAAGGCATCCCCTGTGTGAAAGCTGGCAGCTTCATCCCAGGTAAATTAATTCAGACAAACATTAGAACACAGAGGCGTCATAAGTCACATGTCAAAGGCCCCCAAACCAACAACCAACCAAACCCAGTCTATACAGCTTCCTATCTTCAGGCTCCCTTATACATATTAAATAAATAAATAGCATATCTGCTATCAAAATAATAAAAAAATAAATTTCAAGTATTACAAACAAAAATGTCATTGGTGTGGTTCAGTTTTTCTTCTTCCCCCAAATGAAGAGCGTGGCCCATGATCTCAGGACAGAATAAGGAGAGGGTAAGCACACCCAAAAACAAATATGCAAAGTTAAAAAAATTGGTCCCAGATTTTGTGGCAGGAGAGGAGGTGGTGTCAGGAGTGGCTGGAGTTCGGTGCTGCAGCTCAACACCTTCCATCCACCACTCCCTCTCCCCCAAATTAAGATCCCGGCTTTCAATGAGGCAGCCTCTGCTCTCAGAGGCCTCCTTCCCCTTCCACATTTATGCTCTATCTCCCCTGCTAGGCCTTAAAGGAGAAAGTCCTGTTAGGCAAAGTCCCCTTGTGTCAGAGATGAGGGGGAGGGGTGCCCTAAAGGTCTGGCTGGGGTCAGCCAATAGTCAGGGTCAGCTCTGACACCCAGAAAGAGATTAGGCCAGAAAGTAGGTGTGAGAAAGAGATTAGGCCAGAAAGTAGGTGCTCAAGGGCAGAGCTACAGGCCACCGAAAAATGCAGGCAGCCTACAAACACACCAGTATGCGCACACACACACACTCACACTCATACACACGAACATGCTGTCTGACCAGACTTAAAATTTTGAGTAAGAAAAATAGCCCAGGTCTTCCTCACAGGAATGTACATACAGACAGCCTCTCAGGCTGCCTGCCAACTGGGTAGGGTTGCAGGTAGTGGGGAGCGGGATTCGAATGGTTTGGTGTGAAAACTACAAACTTGATTGTATGGTAGCTGAAGTGTGTTTCCATTTCCCACTTAATCACAACCAGAGAAACATGCATTCTCTCAAAGTTCTTCAAACAAAACAAAACACAGCTCTTCTCCACTGCAGGCCCCAGAAGGCTCAGTGTCCCCAATCCCACTCCCAATAACTATTTCTTAAGCTAAGAGGGGTGAGTGAGGGTGTGAGGCTCCAAAGCAGAAGGCAGGAAAGTAGTGTCCTTTGGCACCGACTTGCAGAGATTCCTAAAGGGTCATCTGGGCAAACTCCATTGCTAAGTCTAGAAATTGCTTCTTCTGAGCCTCAAGACACCCAGTACTTGGAGCCAACAAGGAGAAACAAGCAGGTAGAAACGACAGGGATTTAGAACACAGATCCCAAAGCCCCGCTCTAAAAGAAGAAGGGCCAAGGTGCCATAGAGGAGAGCAGGGGCTGTCTCCCTCTTCTGAATCCCTGGGAAGCCAGCACAGCACAGGCAGGCAGTGGGAGCTCGAGAAAAATGTGGGGAGATGACAGAGACCTGCCAGGAGGCCACGGACACCCGGGAGGAAGTGGCCAAGGGCAGGGCTTGGCCCTGCCACTGTCCCTACCATGAAACATGGAAGGTGGCCACCTCCTGCAGAAAGTGGGGGCGGGGAGGACACAGGAGCCCCCGCACGGCCTCCCGGCCAATCCTACAATGATCTCGCTCTCGCTTCGGCTGGATCGCAGAGTCCTGAGTTCACCCTATCAGGTGCCCGCTGCCACGCGCCTCCCCATTTTATTTCAGCCCTGCAGTCACTGAGGGCACAAAACCCAAAAATCTAAGTTCCTGAAGAGATGGTGCCACTTTCGAGCCACACTTTCTGCCATAAAACAAAGTGCAAACAAGAGCAGCCCCGGGAATTCCATCTCAGGTGTCAGAGATCTAGGCAGAAGAACCAAGGGTGCCCTGGGGCTGGGATCCCAGGGCCATTGAAGCACTACACTGCCAGGCCCTGCCCAGAAGGTGTGCGCACGCGCAGACAGAGCATGGCTTCTTTCCACCTGGACTTCACAGGCGACGTCCCCAGCCGAGATGAACAGCACAGCCTGGTGAGAGCTCCACATCCCTTGACCTTCAGTCACTGGGATCTAGGCCCCTTTAATGCAGATTTCCGGGGCCAGTGTCATGTCCCCAGCTGAGCACATACCAGCTAAGAAACCACAAAATAGCACAGTGGCACTGACACCGCCATCTCGAGGCCATCTCGCCTCCTCCTCTGCTCATCCTCACTGAGCCTTGGGGAGTCGGGGCGGGGAGGTGGGCAGTCAGTGAGGGCCACTGGAGGGCCACAGACAGCAGAGGTGGCGCTGGCCTGCGGCCTCACAGGGCAGCTGTGCTGGTCGTGCGTGAGCATGGGAAAGGCCTCCCAATGTCTCGGCTTCCCCGACGCCACTGGGGCCCCGGTTCTGTTCCACCAGCATGGCCTTCTTCACCACCCCTCCTGTTCCAGTAGAAGTCCTTGGGATCATTTGGCCTTGAGTAGACAGAAGAGCACTAGCTAAGCTGCAGAAATGGAAATGGAGTGCACCGATGGGTCTGCCTCAGTGTGTCCGGGAGGAGTCGTTGCTCTGGGAGCCTTTCATGTTCTGTTTGCAGCAGGAGAGAAGAGGGGTGGGAAGGGGACGAGTTACTGACAACAGACTAGGTTTCTAATGCCAAAGTCCAAAGCCATGCAATTGAGAGTTTCCCGCCCCTCTTCACCTCCCCCCACCCCCAGCCCCCAATACACAACTCTGAAGGAGCATCATTAGCCAGATGGCGGAAGGAAGCCCAGGGAGACCCCAGGAATGTGGTAGGATGTAAGCCCAGAGTCACACAGAAGAAAGGGGCCGGGTGCCAGGCTGGGAGAATCTTGTAGCTGAGCTCTGTCATCTGCCTGCAGGAGGCAGGGTAGAATGGTGGGGCAAAAGACGCTGCTCTTGTGGCTCACAGCCGTTCTGGGGTACAGTAGATGCAGCTCTTAAGGAAGCCCTCCTACTCATGACTCTCTGGAATCCTAAGGCTGCCCTAAGCCCATACAGCCAGGCAAAAGATAAGCAAGGGACCCTCCAAAGAAGTGTGAAGAATCTCTTCCAACACCCCAGCCCTTGTCATTCAGATTCTAGAAACCAGAGCTCAGCAGCTAGAATGTAAGTGATAGGGGTTGCTGACTGATGCCGAGAAGGCCCAGGCTAGAAGGCACGAGTCCCCAAAGCACGCTTCCGGTCCTAAAAACAGCATCCTAGCTGGAACCCCACCCTAAGAAGCCAGCCAGTGGTAAAACGTCCTCTAAAATGTTTTCCAACTGGCTGGGAGAGATCACAGCTGCCACAGTTCAACTGCAGTCTTTTTGGCTAACCTCTTAATTCACCTCTCCCCACCAAAAGGAAACACAACCTAGGTGTTCTCGCTGATCCTGAATGTAAAACTATTGTGGCTGGTGGGGAGAGTGGAACCCGGACAGCAGGTGAGCAAGGGCTACCATTCCTGACCCCCACAGAACTGAGGTCCAAGCTAGTAAATATCTCTAGAAACAAATCCCAGAGCTGGCAGCACTGAAGCCAGTGCTTGGATCTGAGGCTGATCTCAATGACCTCAGGAGCCCGGGCACCCATATCCCAACCACGAGTCCATCACACACCATCTGATGGTGAGGGAGAGGGGTTATCTCGGGGGAGGGCCCTGCAGCCTCACGGCCAGAAAGGACCCAGCCAGCTTGCACGGCCAGAGAGGAGGCACTGCTGTGTCCCGTACGGCCACAGGTGCCGACCCGCCCTCAGATATCGCAGGTCCCACATTGATGGCGATGCAACATGACAGTGGGACACAGGCACGGGATGTCCACACCATTCACGCATGGCGCCCTGGCTAAGGACATAGGGGGCAGGAGGACAGGAGCAAGAACCCTGGACAATGGAGCAGCTCTTAGAAACACAGGTTCCCTGCCACGGTCAATGTGTCACACACTGCACAATGGCCAGTCTCCACACAGATCGAGATGCCCTCTTGGGCTGAGAGGGATGACTCAGAGATGAGGGGACAACAAGGGGCATGCACCAGGCCATTTACCTTTCCAAGCTTAGTAAGGAGAAAACTTTGAGAAAATGTGACAGACAGTTCGTCTTTCAAGCATAGTGGGGAAAGAAAGAAAGAAGTGGGAAAAGAAAAACAAAACATCTTTAGTAGTGCTTTCTTTTAGTGTGCATTTAAAATTTAAAAATCAGGGGTGGGTGGTCAAAGTCAAATGTCTGTCACCCCACACTGAACACAGCCCCCAGAAAGTGACTGCAGGGTGCTCTGTCCAGCCCTCTCTCCTGTTTATTTACCAGGAAGCAGCATCCTCAGACTACAACCCGTAGGATTCCCCACGCTCCCCTAGTGCCTAGTCTCTGGGTGCTCCTGCTGCCGTGAGAAGAAACCCCAATGGCTGGTGTAGAAGGAGGGGGGACATGGAAAGGCCAAGAGCCCTGGATCGACCACCAGACACAGGTAGCAACTGCCAGGATCACGATGTCCATTGGTACCAGCTCGGCACATCTATGTCCTCTATGGCGCTCTCCTCCCTCGGACAGAGGAGGATGGATGCTCACGTCCAAGACACGCACCATCCTGTCTAGAGGCCCAAAGACAAGAGGGCAACAGACGCAAGGCACAAACCTGGCTTAGTTTGCGTTGGATTCTAAATTGTGCTGTCTGCAATTCCAGTCACAGGGTCCTACTCCCAGGCTGGCCAAGCCCCAGGGACTAGGGGGGGAAATGCAGGCAGGATGGGCCAGAGGAAAGCGCTTTGATTACACTGCAGGCATTAGCTTTTCAAAAGCAAATTCAACCCTAAGAGATAGGGAGGGGGGTTGTACCCAACAGGCTCCCTCCTGGGAGAAAGGCTTCTTAGTTACATCAGCTATGCAAAAGGAAAAGGATCTACACTGAGGCAAAACCACAAGACTCCAAATGCAAAGGCTAGTTTCCCCACAAGGAGAACCCTCGATCTTGCAGGGTTCATGTACAATACTGGGGCTCAAGGGGGTGGCGGACACGGGTCTGATTTTTACAATGGAGGGGTGCACCACTAAGTAAACACACCTTAGTCACCAGAAGCAGCTGTAAGCATTAAAAAGAAGTGGGATGGGGGGGGGGGTGCAGTGTCCGGAAAGGAGGAAGGTGAACAGTTTTTGGCTGTTTTCCCAGGAACCATCAGAGAAAGCAGCCAACCTCCAGAACTGGGGGACCTGTTCAAGCTTCAGTTCTGCTTCTGACTAGCTGGATGACGGCAGGTTGGCGATGCACCCTCAGCCCTCCTCTGGTAAATGGGGATATGCCCACCCTGGTGACCCCCTTGGGAATATTTTAAGGACTCGACACAGAAAATTCCCCATGGGCTGTCAAGCACGTCAAAGTCCATTTTACAACAGGTGGTGCCACCTAGATCTACACTTGACGCCAAAAAATCCTAGGTTCTGTGCCAAGTCATGACTTTCAGGTGATCTTCCTCCAGCTTTCTCAGCTCTGCGTGAAATAGTCAAGGTAACCTGTTCAGCAAAAGGGAATAGATGCAGGTATGATGTGAGGGGTTGGCAAGGTGACATTTTGTGGTGAGAAGACCCTCACTCACTATACAGGCCTCAGCTCCCTCCATGGTTGTGACCACTGAAGCAGGCAGCATTACCCAGAGAAACCAGAAACTCTGCAGGGAGCTTGGCACAGTCGGGGAAGACACATGGATCTGACTGGACAGCTGTACCCAGTCCTGAACATGACTGTGAAGGCTAAGCTGGTCCCTGGACAGGACAAACCCGCCCAGGAGATGGTTCCCAAACAGACCTATCGTGCCTGTGGGACCCGTGGAGCCACCAGGGTCTCCACCAGGACAGGGAGGTGAACCTGCAGGGCTCCTACTGCCACCACATTCTCACCAGGGCCCCACCTCGTGTATCTGCTTTGCTATCAGACTGCTGGTGAAGTTTCTCCAACAGGAGAGTAAGAACTCCAGACACAGCAGCAGGCACAGACCCAGCTCAACACCAAAATCTGGCTCTAACGGGGAGAACTGAGTGTATGTCAAGCCACAGACCACTGCAGGTTCTGAGAGCACCTAGCACCTGAGAAGAAGGGGGAAGCCGACTGCAGCGGCAGCAGCACAGGAATAGGCTGGAACCAGCTGGACCGTAATCGCCTCTTGCAGCCTATGCTGCAAGTTGATAAATTCCCTTCTCCCGTGCCATCTTCCGCCTTCAGATTTCAGAAAAACTGTCACTATCCTCAACATTTTCACAGGCAGGAGGTCAAAGGGGCAAGCAAGAAAAAAAGAGAAGTGAGCAGAAAGTTATTCAGAGAAAAATACTTACAGACAGGCTTTCCCTAGCAAAGGCTGCAGAGAGAAAGTTGAGAGAGAAGTCAGTAGACGGAGAGGACATAGCGCTGAGTCAAGGAAACCAGGACACGCTCTGCTGGGGCAAATCCCCATGCACCCGCCCAGGCCTGGCCCAGCCAAGTGCTTCCACACGCCCAGGGGCCCAGAGGTCTGCCTGGCAAGCCCGAAGCCTGCCCTCTCAAAGTTGGAAGAGCCGCAGCCCTGCCGCCTTCCACACCACCCAACCCTCACCCAGGCAGGATCCCTGGGGTCCTCTAAATGGTGACCTCTAAATTCCCAACTATGACTTTGTACTTTACACTACAGTGGAAGTTGGAGACATCACTTCAGGACTGTTTTCACCAAAACAAACAAAAAACCTGATTTTAGATGTGAAAGGAGGCTAAAAGTCATAGAAGACTCCCTGTCTTGCTCCATTTGAAAAGACGAGACAGAGGCCAGCAAGGTCACCTCATCTGACAATAAAATCTTATAGTTCATGCCCCACGGCAGAGCTGTGCTCCGGAGCTGGGTCTCAGGCTGCCCGGAGCCTCGCCTCAGTGTGATCCCCCCACGTAGGGACAGATCACACAATTGCTTATTCGACCCGCCTCTTGGAAGAGGTGTTACTCCCCCTCCCAGAGAAAAGTGAGTTCTCGAGGGGATTGCGGCTGAGTGCCATCCAGCCCAGTGCACGCGCCATGGCCTCCCAGTTTGAGTGGCCGGCACCTTGCGGCCTCCACACCCAGCTCACACGGAAACCTATTTGAAAATTTAGCCTGGTATTTATTCGTAAGCCACTCAGTGTGTGGATGGAGGTACAGAGGCGAGACCTGAATCTGTGCCCAAGGATTTATTTCTGTATCTCACATCTTGGCAAAGACCCTCATCTGCCTTTCTGAAAACCTGTCTCATCACCAAACAGTCAAGCTTTCCAGTCATTCATCTTCATAGTGAATGAAATCAGGGAAATCTAGCAGTGTCTAGACATTTTTTCACCACCTGCTGAAGTAGCCATTGTCAGATGATAAAGTGGCTGCTTCCAGGTCATCCAGCCCCGGGTGTCACGCGACTGGGGTTCCAGCTACAGGCTCCAGACCAGGCTGTGCTGCGAGGCCCCTGGCTGACTACACCTCGACTGAGGTGAGGGCTGCGCTGCAGAAGACTACAGAAAACATGCAGCGTGGGTCTGGGGAAAAGATCCTCAGATCACACAGAAGCCGTGGCCCAGAGCTGAATGGACTCTCCTGAGCCGGGCTGACTTTGTGCAGGAAACACCATCAGGTACATGCATGGACACAGACTCTGCCGTTGCACTGCTCTGCCCAGTTCTGTCTGCAGGTCACTTCCCCCTCGGGGTCAAGGGCACTTGGTGATCCTGGGGCCACAGCCACAGAGGGCCCCGCTCTCTCCTCACACCTGCACGCACACCGGGTCCGAGGTCACCGCCACACCCACAGGAAACTCCCCCCCATCCAGACTTGAGACACAGCCATGAGGAAAGGAAGAAGGGAGGGTCGACGCACTTGTCCGGGCAGCTGCGTGGGCACCTCCGGGGGCAGGCAGTTGGGCAGGGCAGCGGAGGTGGAAGCCACATGCTCCTCAAAGCTGTTGATGCGAGGCTTTTTGGTGGGCTCGGGGCTGGCTAGTGGGGTGACACTATTGCGTCTCATGAGCGGGTTAGGTCCCTTCTTTGCATCCTAAGCAAGACAAAGACAAAAGAGAGAAGGCGACAGTTATAAGGAGAAGGGAGGTAAAAAAAAAAAAGCCAAAAAAAAAATCCTACAAAATATTTCTCTGCTTCTAGATTTATTGATGTGACAAGCATCTTCCCATCACTAAGAATAAGAAATGATGTTCTGGGCCCCTTTCCCAGATGGTTCCAAGACACCCATTTGGACAAACATGTGCAAAGCAGGTGCAAGAAGAGCAGGAGCGGTTCTGCATACAGGGAAGCAATTAGAGCAGATAAGGAGTCAGGGAAGAACCTGGCTGCCAGCCTCCACGAGAGCCAGAAGAAAGGGTACGGGAAGAGGCCTGGATGAGGCTTGGAACAGCCAGAGGTCAGCAAGAGGCGGGAGAAGTGGTCGCACTGGACCTTGAGCCAGGACTGCAGGGCTGACATGGGGAACCACTGCCCTGCTAGCCAGCACAGGAGGCTGCAGAGCGAGCCAGGAGTCCAAAGGCGCAGGGAACCTGAGGGAGGCACACTGGGTCGGCTGGACCGAAGCCTCCTATCTCCCAACAAGTCACAAGGGAACCGCAGCCCCTGCAGCCCTGGCCCCACCGCTTGCGGGGTGTCTCAAGACCCTGCTCCTGTGCCCTGCTCAGGGACCTTCGGAGTCCGGCTAGGGCCAGGCTGCAGGCTGCTGCTCACACAGTAGAGCGGTCGCAGCCCCGGTACCATGACCCACACTTGAAGGGACTAGCACAAAGCCTGGGAGGCAGCCCCCCTTGTTTCCATCAACCAGCCAGGCAACTGTGGGCAGAAGCTGGGGCTTTAAGGCAGAAATCCCCGGCCAAGTTCCTTGGGAACAGGGAAGGCTCCTGCATGGCCAGAATGTCACGCTAGGAGAAAGGATGGGACCGGTGCTGGCAGAATTCTGCACTCCACAGTCAGGTAAAGTGAATTCACGCTTCCTTTCACATCGTGCGCCTGGCAGATTCTACTCTAGTCTTGGGGGATCCAGGAGACCCACTGCCAAACTTTAGGACCCGCCCCACGTGGACATCAGCAGCACCCAGACACTGGGTATCCTCAAAACACCCTCCATCCACCACCCATGTTGCTAATTCCCAAAGCCTGTTTCTCCACATGCTTTTGCACTAGCATCATCTCCTTGATAACTGTCCTAAGCGTGCCTACGGGTGGCTGAGGAGATTTGCCGATCCTGTGTACCTGCTAATTCCAGCACCTAAATAACATGGTTATGTTTCAAAGAGGAGAACGCGTCTTCCTCTTTAAGGCTCACTTCTCGGGGGAAGAAAGCATAGAAAGAAGATGCCAAGAAGCTGCAGGAGAGACAGGCCAAGACACAGAGGATTTAGAAGAGAGAAGGGAGAGAGTCACCCAGGATGGCCAGGCCCTCGCAAGTTCCTTCAGGGAGAACCCAGGGAAAGACACAGATCAATATCCAAAGGCACCAAGATTGTGGGGTCTTCAAGTGTTGGCACCCACAGGCTCATCCCCTGACAGGCTGGTGCTCAAGGACCAGAGGCACAGAGTTGACACTCACCTCTGACCTCTCCCGGTGTGTGCTCACCGACTCCACGTTCAAGTAGATGGATTCTACACGGCAGCCTGCGAGGACAGGGAGACAGGATGGCTTCAGTCAAAGGGCTGAGTGGTTTGCAGCCCCACGGCCATGAGGAGACCCCAGTCCCAGGAAAAGGCCTTGGCAGGGGTTGGGTGGCCCCACTCACCATAAGCAACGGGCGTCAGTTTCAGGACGGTGTGAAGAGGGCATTTTAGGTAAGGCATCTCCTCTGAAAAGAGAAAGGCCCCCAAGATCAGATGTGAGACTTCAGGATGTTTACTCAGCAGCCCCTAGAGAGAGTCTGCACTTGGGTGCCCTGAGACATGCATCGCCTTTCCCTCCGCTCCCTCCCCATGGACACCTAGACCAAGAACCAAATCTCAAACCTCACACCAACCCTCACAGTGAGTTACAGTAAAAAAAAAAAAAGTGACTCCAAACTGTTTCAGTAAGTCTAGGTATCCTGTTGAACTTGGCACAGACTGGTAGGTAAGAGCAGCCGTCATGTTTTCTGGGCACCTCTTCCTTAGAGCGGCCGCTCTCCACTTGACCCAAAGGCCCTGAGGTGTGAGCAGACAGGGCTGGCACAAGAAGTGTGCTGACAGGCTGGCAGGGGTGCCCTGGGCACAGGAGGCCCTCTACACTGCTGGGGAGCACACAGAAGGCCATGTGGGCTGTGGACAAAGGACGCGGGGTCCCACCCAAACCCCAGGAAGCTCTGGAGGCCACACACCTGCACTCTTATCCAGGAAGTAGGCCAGGAGGCAGCGCAGGACAGCCTGGTGGCAGATGACCAGCACGTTCTCCTGCCGCTCCAGCTCCATGATCACTGGCTCCAGGCGCTGCACCAGGTCCTGGTAGGACTGCAGAGGAGGAAGGAGACACATGGGCAAAGGCGCATGGGAAAAACAGGAGCTTTGTCAACACAGCCACGTTGCTCCCATCACTACAAACCAAGGGCCACACACTCACTCAGCCATTACAATTAGGGCTACATTCTTCATGGGCACTGGGGGGGGGGGGGGGGGGCCCACCTCACCAGCCTTCCTTAAAAGGGCAATCACCGGTGGTGGGGAAGACGGGAGAAGTGCTACTGTGAACCTCATGTCCTCTCTTTCTCTCTCAGACTTCTTTTTCCTAACTCTACATGGGAGATTTGGGAATGAAGTCCTCACACCTACTACAACATGGATGAACCCTGAAAATGTCATACTAAGAAGACACACACAAAAGACATACCCTAGGATTCCATTAAATGAACTGTATGAACTGTCCAGAGCAGGCAAACCCATAGATCTAGAAAGATGTGTTTGCCAGGGGCCAGGAGCAGAGTGGTTTGGACTGACAGAGCTAACAGGCTGGAGTTTCTTTTTGGAGCGATAGAGTGTCTTGATTTACTGGTGGTGGTTACACAGTATTCTAAACATACTAAAAACCACTGACTGCATACATGAAGCGGCTAAAATGAATTTTCTAAGAGGCAAAACTCGCTCAAAAATAAATTAAAAAGAAGAGGCAGACCTGTGACTTAAAACCACCACGGCTCCCTCTCACTGCAGTCCTCTCCACCCCCTTCCTTCTCTCACCAGGTTCCGGAGCAGGACCAGCTGAGCCAAGAGGACAGCACCCTGGCGTGAGGGAACTGGGCTATGGCCGAGCTGAGAGGGCCACACACAGGAAGCCCAGCTAAGAGTCACCAGCTCAGGCTGCAGTGGTGGCAGTGGTCAAGCCGGAGCACCAACTGCACCTGGACTCCCAGCATCTGCTGGTCCAGCCAGGGGGGTGACGTGCAGCCCAAGTAAGGCCCCCCACCAGAAGCAATCCAGTGACACTGGAGACCAGAGGTGATGGCTGCCATGTCGCCTGCAGACAAGGGACCCTCATGTGGAGGGATGATCATCCACCATCATGTTTGTGAGTCACTAGAGAAACACTTCTCTGACTCTTGCTCGCAGAGACACACAGCTGCCCTTCTCTTGCAGTGTCGACAGGCTGTTCAGGAGAACCAGTCCTGGGACCGAGGGAGTCAGCTGTGAGAGCACTGGTCCCAGGGCAGAGGTGCACTGCAAAGTCATGGCAGTGGCAGGTCCAGCTGAGTGCCCAGCAGCCCCCTCTTCAGCCTGATACCCTGAGCCTGGGACAGTCCTCCATGTACACCAACCACACCCGACTGCCACTCACTGACACCCACAGTGAGCCCAGACGGAGCACGGCCGCCCGTCACGCACCTCCCCGGTGGGGTAGCGGTAGTAGTACTTGTCTTGCTCTCGCAGGGCGTACTCCTCGGGGTAGGTGTCCCTGATCTCTTCGTAGGTCATCTCCTCACAAACGCCCTGTGGAAATGAGCGGTCACTTGAGGGGACACACCCCAAGTGGCCCCCCGGAGTTGGTGACTACAGCAGGCATGGTGAGACAGACTTTATGGTCTCTAACAGATTTGGGGGAGAGGCTTCCCATACCCTCCACTCCTGCCCCCCACACCCTGGCCAGATCCAGAGACTCACAGCATCAATTTCATTAAGCGCCTTCCACTGCTCATAGGGAAGCTGAAGGGCTTCTGCCGTCTGAATGGTGCTTTTCAGTTGGCTGGTCCACACCTTGAGGTCCTTCAGGTTCTGCTCCTCTACAAATTTGCTCAAGGCGTTGGCAAACTGAGAGAGAGAGAGGGAGAGAGAGAGAGAGGAACACACTCTTGATTCTAGCCTCCTGCCCACCTGGAAAAAGTGCCCAAAAGTCACATTAGTGACAGTCACTGCTGCCATTAGAATAATTGTAGTGCAACAGGTGAAAGCTCAGCACTATGAAGCTCTCCAAAGTGCAAGTTTGACCCCCCCACCATGGAGGTGACCCACATGGCGCACCAGACCTCTCCTGACCCGCCCGCTGCTCCCCTCAGCAGTGTACTTCAGTCTGTCCTGTTCCCCACTGTCTCTGGTGAATCCACTCCCCTGCACCTCTGGCCCGTACCCCAGCTCTTGTGTTCATAAATAAATATTATTTAAAAAAAAAGAATAATGAAGAGCCCAAGAAAAACAGAGGGCAGCCTCTGCACACACACCGACCACAGAGCCCCAGAGGGCCACCTTGCACGCACGCACACATGCACGCACCACGTGCGCACAGATAAGGACACACAGACACCCCCAGCCTTCTGCTTCACCCCCAGCTCCTACCTTCCTGCCCCGGCTGGACAGGCCTGAGTCACCTCCAATCTTGCCCTGGAGGTTGTGCTCGCTTTCGCCATGCCGACACAGGTAGATGGTGCGGGGCTGCACATGGATGTTCATCAGGTAGTACACGATCCGGCTCTGAATGTGATCTTGAACTCTGCTCACCAAGAACCGCCGGCCCACGTCGATCACCTTGATCAGGGAGAGGTCCCTGCGCAGGAAGGACACTGGCCCATCAGCACATCCCACCCCGGGCCAGCTGCTGCAGACACTCAGACCACACCCCCAGGGGGCACAGACAGAATCGATTTCCTCTGGGAGTCAGAGAGCTTGAGCACAACAACCAACTCCCACAGCACAGTGTGTGGCCAAGAAGCTGGCCTGTCTCCCAGAAGGGGGGAGAAAAAAGCAGAGACTGAAAAGGAAACAAAGGGGATATCAAAGGGAAGATTGCAAGATCAGGTTCAAATATTTACTTGTCCCATGTCTACACAGGTAGTGTCTAAAATATTTGCACTGGAAATAGAACCTAGGGTTTCCCACATAAGTTATTTTTTAAAAGGGTTTATAGAAATATCTAGGATCAAAGCCTTTGTGGGAATTTCCGCACAACTCAAGTTCCCAAAAAGGTGATTCAGAAGCATTCACCTCTTCAGAATTACCTATCATATTTGTCGGGGTCGAGGGGTTGGTAGCTTGCTTCATAGCAACTGATTCTCTTCATAAAGTCGTCCATGGCTTCTGCTGAGCTGCAGTCTTTGTAATCTGGGCTGGAGATTTTCACTTCCTGTAACACCACAAAGAGGCAGCTGATGAATCACGCTGGGAGGCTTTCTGCTTAGACCAAGCGGGAATGGGGCTTGCAAAAGGGGAAAGCACAGACAGGCTCAGAATAAAGATGAGGCTGCCCAGCGCTTCAGAGAAGAAAGGAAAGAGGGGGAGGGGCTCTTGAACCCGATGATTACATGGTGGACAGAGAATCACTGCCTGGAAGGACAGAGACAAAAAAAAAAAAAACCCAGTAGGATTCCACAATGAATGGAGTCACTCATTCCATCATCATTCCACAGGGAAACCTCTGAATGGACCATGATTCAGGATCAGCCCACCCGCAGCTCAGCCCGCCATTCAACCCAGTTCTGCAGCGGCCCCTGCATGGCTCGGCCAGGCCCCTGCATGGCTCCCCGCACCAAGAGAAGGCTGCAGGTTAGCAGAGGTGCACTCGGGAGGAAGTTGCTGAAGACACCCTGGGGATTCTTCCCCAGCCCACCCATGGGGCAACTCTATTTGGGACCACCAGACTGCCCTCAGCACTTCCCTACCCAGACAGGCCCCTCCAAGGCTGGCCGGCACAGGAAGGAAGTGCTGAAGGAAGTGCAGAAGTGGCCCTTGGGCTGCCCTCCACCATAACTGAACAGGAGGTCTGAGCCTTGCAGACTGTGGGGAAACTGAACTATTTATACTGGATGTGCCCTTTTCCTCCTCAACACCTGGGAAAGAGAGGCGGCCACTCACGGTCCAAGTTCAATGGAGATAAGTTAGTGTTTGAGGGGGGCAGACATTTGCTCTGAAAGATAACAAAGCTCTGGAGGTGAAGGCGTGATGGCTGCACAACCCCGGGCTATATGCTTCAAAGCTGCTTAGATGGTGTCAGGTCCTACATTTTACCACAGTAACAAAAACTAATAAATTAAAATAAATAAATAGACTAATAAATTTTAAAAAATAAGAAGAAAATATCTAGGTCCTCAATCCCTTTTCCCTTAGCACAGTTACCCACATAAGGAGCACAGTGCGAAGGGCTGACTGTCAAGGCTGCTCACAGCTTAATGAGAAAAAGAGATTTTGGAGCACAGAGGCTGGGGGCCGGTGACGGTCATGGAGTAACAGCACGCGACTGGGCGCTCTCAAGCATCCTGGTGATGGCTCACGAGGGAAAAAATGATTTACAGCTGCACTTGACTTCACTACCAAGTGCAACTAGCAGAACCGAACCCAAAAAATACAGCACAACCCTTTGCTCAGACTGTGGCAACTTGTTTCCCTATACCTTGAGCTTTTTCCTTTGGACCTGCTGAAATTGATCTGGGCTGACTTGCCGCCATCTGACTAGCCCTTCCTGAAATATGAACTCATTTCTTAGAAATGCTGGTAAATATTTCCACTGCTCAGAGGAAATGTCCAATACTTGAAGCTAACTAAGCTCTGCACCCACTCAAGTGCACACTCGAACACACCACCGCCGCCAAAGAGGCTAGCTTTGCTTGTCTTGCTGTGATATATTGATGCTGGATAAAAATTATCTAGAACAAGAGAAGGTGATCAGCTGCAAAGTCCTCATAGTAACCATCCTTGTGTATGAGATAGTGTTATCAAGAGATACAATTTAAGCATTAATTAAAATAAGTGACCAGTCCCCCTCAATTTGTGCAGGCCACCCCGCACTGGCACAGGGGAGAGAAGGCAGCTCTATTGTAGTTACTTCGCTAGGGGGATAAGCAAACATTATCCACTCTTCCTGGACATGAGCTTCAGCCAGCCGGGCCCTACAGGCCTGGCCATTCTTATTGACCAGAACCTTATACAGCAAAAGGACATCAGCCTGCGGCCTCCTTTCCCACCAGCCCAGTTGAATTGCCCTTGGCCTGAACAGCCCTGTGACCACCCAGCAGCCTCTATCACCCATGAAACTGCTCCTGGTCTCCCCTATACCTCAATTCCCTCAAATATTGCCAAATAAAATAAAATCCTACTTTGCTCTTCTGATCTCTCCATTTCGCAGCCCCATACAAAGCCCTTGACTGACACAGCCAGCTTGCCCGAGTCTAGGTGCTTCCCCTGGCTCAGCCACCACCCGGGAAGTGGGGCTCCTGTATTGCTCACCATGATGTTGGAGGCCACGACGGTAGGGTCATCGCATACAGACTCGATGAAAAACACCTGGCAGGGAGCAAGACAGAAACATTAGGAAACAACCCATGTGGCCCCAAGAAGGGCCAACCTGATGTTACTGTGACGCAATCACCATGTTCAAGGAAGGGCGCGGCTCGAAGACCCACTACATAAAAGAAGTCTCCCCCACTCAATCCTGGGCCCTTCAGCCTCCCCACTGGAGGTCTACTCCCCGCTCTCTCTAGGAGCCCCCACCAGGAAGGCCCCACCCAGAGACAGTGGGAGGTGAAGGAGCAATCAGAGAGCTGAAGACACAGGAATCGGTGGATCCCTGGGGTCTCGTGGCTCCTGAGTGCTCCCAGGCAAGACAAGAAGTTTGGTTTACCTTGAAATCATTTTCTTTGGCAAAATGAAGGATCATGTGTCTTCTCTCTCTGGTAGTGTTGGTGGCATCAAAAACCTAACAGAAAGAAAGATGGGAAGTGAAGAGAATCTAAGGGAACAGGATTTACCAAAACACCCGGGGCTGGGGGGGTGAGGGCATGGGTGGGAATGGGGCTTTAGAGCAGAGGAGCAAGTAGCACATGGGAGGGTGTGTTCAGAGGAGTGGCGCTCAGCAGCAGCCATCCCAGTCCAGGGTGCCCTGGAGGGCAGAACCCAACAGCCCAGAGACTAAGCAGAGCATACCAGCTGGCTGTGCCCCAAGTCCAGCTGGAAGCCTCCTTGCTGGGTCCCTGTGCCTCTCTCGCCGCCTGCTTGCCCCAACTCTCAGGCCAGAAGCACCTGTCCTCTTTGAAGTGTCCCCATAATGCCTCTCAACAGCCATGGACACTGCCCATAAATCACTCTCCCCAGGGCATCATCCTACCGTGCAGTGGGAGACAGAACAGGCATATTCCTCAGACTTACCGCAATTTGGCCCCCTTCCCTTGTCAGGTAACTTTTGACGTCTCTCAAGGCAGCCAGAGCACACTGCCTGCAACACAGAAGAAGCGCACATCAGTGCCCACACTCCCCACCACCCGAGACGGGTGACCCCGGTCCTAATCAGGGACTGCTCAGCTGGCCACCTGGCGGGCCGAGGCTCGGCTTAGAGGCCTGCATGCTGGTGTGGTGGCCCTGGGAAATGGAGCAGACGCCTGGGGCACTGAAGTCCCCGGGAATTTTTAAATATTGCTGCCCAGGTCCTGCCAGAAACCCTCACTGAGTCAGCCAGCGGTGAGGCCTGCTGAGGAGTGAGCTTTGTAAGCTCCCAGGTGATCCTGAAGCATAGTCATATTGAACACCACTGTACCTGGGGTTCACGAACACACTGGACTTAAAGTCTTTTCAAATGTAAACATAATTTTCCATGAAAGAGACTCTGTTCACTCTTTAGGAAGCTTGTGGCACATTCTCAGTGAGACCTGTGTCCCATCTGCTGAAATGAGTCCATCTAGGGACAGATGGAAGCAGTAAGTTCAGACTTGCCCCAGTACATATGCCAGGGGGCCCATCTGATGGCCCAGCAGAACCACCCCACTGGCCAGCTTCCGCTTCCTCTGACAGAGTCTGACCCAAAAAAGCACAGCAAACCCAAGTCTAATGCCTCTTGCAGCAGCCAGGGCCTTACTTTCGCACTCTCATGGCTTCTTCATTGTCAGGGCGAAAGAAGTTGTAGGAGCTGTACTGCTTGACGGCCTCCCGGCGGTACTCCCCCACATTGAACACTGAGGACGGCAAGGAAAGGACACTTAGCATACAGAACTGGGGTACAAGCCAGAGGTGCAGAGGCAGCCAGAGGATCCACCAGAGACAGAGTGGGGAGCACAACAGGCAGATCGAGGAAGTACACTGCTGAGGGGAGCAGCAGCAAGACAGGAGAGGTCTGCTGCACCATGTGGGTCACCTCGGGGTAGGGATCGACCTCAACTGAAGCAGCCATGGCTTGGCTTAGCTTCTCAGTGCAGCGCTCCAACCGGCTGCACCACCAGGGAGGGCCTATCATCAACCTTCCAAACATCGCATCCTCCAAACCCTGCTCCGGCTGCCCGCTACTTTCCTGGAGGTATCCAGCCCCGCCTCGCCAAGTGGGGGACTAGAGGCCAAGGCTGTGCAAACAGCCCGCAGATGCACATCTAGCAAAGACAGGGGTGATGATTTTTGCCAAAGGTCTCCAGGGGAGTGCTCACACCCCTATCAGCAGGTGCAAACCAGCTGTTCATCCACGGCCGCAAGAAAGCACAGTTGCTGTATGAAGCAGTTCACCAGATATGGGGGCAAGGGGGTGTGGGGGGATGCAAAGGCTGTCCCATGATGTTTCCCATGGAGTTGAGAAGACCAAGCAAAGAGTCATAAAAATATGGTCAATGCATTATGTGGGGGTGGAGTGGGGAATGGGATCAAAAACGGGG